GTACACGCCACCACCGTACCCTACAGAACAACTTAACTGAGGAATACTTTTACTCTCGTAATGGAAATGAGTCTCAGTCGCAACAATTGTATGGTTTTCATTAGGAATTTGAACTTGTTGTGAAACCATAGCAATAAACTTTATTAAGTAATGAATATTCATTGTGGGGACAATGATGGTTATCAGCCTTCTGATGGTGTCTATTGAATGCACTGTGTAATGATAGCAGGTTTTAGTAAAGAATGTGTATGATATGCTAATGATTATTGTAATTCAGTAGCTGTGATTGTTTAGATAATTTGACTACAGTAGGATGAAGCTGGGTATTGTTGCTGATTATTGTTTATTTCGTTTTTACATTGATCTTTTACCATAAAACACATGCACAGAAGTCCCTGCTTCTTTTCTTGCTGTCACAGACTCTCAATGCAAATTTTCCCTTTTCTGACTTGCTGATGCTTCAAGTAAACTATAAAATCAAATACAAATTGTTATTGTTTTCTTCTTTCTAGATAACTAACATTTATATAATATATGGCATTAAATCAGTTTAATTTTTTACCAGGGGTGGCGTGGCGCCACGATTTGCCCGACGTAGGGGGGGGGGGAGGTGCCCGACGAAAACAAAGTGGGCGTGGTCGAGCTTCGATTAAAAGATTTTGAAAGTGGCGAAGCCCCCGAAATTTTTTACAATTTAGGGGTTTCAAAGGCTTATTTAATCGATTTTAGAGTCTACTAATATGTAGAAAATACATAATATTTTTTTAACCCCGACGAATTGTTCTTTTTCTGATGGGGGGGGGGGGGGGGGCAACTGCAACTCTCCCGAAGGGGGTCCCTCGGGCCCCCCGCTGGCGCCACCCCTGAATGTTTACACAAGTGTACCTTCTAATTCGAGGCCCTTCGATTCTAGACCACTTTATTAAAGAACCAAACAATCGTCAATATTTTGACACAAAGCTGACACCAACTGGAGACCGAGACCACCCTAAATTTCCAGGTCCCAAAGTGGTCTCGAGGACAACTGTATTGATGATCAATAATAGTATTCTTGTAACTGCTGTCCTTAATTTATCAATGTTTATAAGTCTGCTCATCTCACTGGGGCTATATGTCCCATGAATAATTATAATGCAAGAACTGTCAGTGAATAATAGTATGTACATCATTACTTCCTCCATTCTAAATCATCGACTGTCCCTTTTCTCCATGCCTATTTTTTATGCATAACTGCATAGATTTAAGATTCGCATTCGACTAAGTACAGGACGTATTTACACCAAATCAAAACGACACACATTGATATGCTCCAGTAACAGATCAGCTTTTGTACAAATTATTAGATACGTGAGGACGTGATTTAAATTCTTTAATAGTAAAACCTGATAATAACCAATTCTTGTAATGCGCCCTCTATACCAGCCACTGGCACCATCCAATGCAATCACAGTAGACTTTTAATAAACGTTGCATGGATTAGGCTGCGATGATGACAACGTTGCTTAGAACGTCAGATAGCCTAGTTGCATATGGCTGCTTCGTCGTATGTCCCCAAGGATATTATTATTATTATTATTATAAAATTGAATGCTGATGTGAGCTGGTTTTGATTAACAGTATCCCACTATTTGGACAATAGCGTGTGTTGTCACGAGCCGCTATGCAGAAAAATGCTATATTCAATATATAGATGAACGTTTATCATACGGCGCGTTGCTTGTATTTTTTTTATCTTCAAACATAATTTATAATACTTTTAGTGAATTGGAAATCTTTCATGCTTATTTTATAAATATATTACGAGTTTTGCTCCTGAAAGTCTACACGAGCCTATAAGAGGATTCAAATATATCACGGATGATCTGCAGGTATGTTACCTCACGTTTTGTTTTCATCCCGAAGGTAATGCTTTATATTTCCTGCATGTTGATTGATTATTTTTTAGTGCACTACTACACAGTCTACTACTAATGCTAATATTAATAATATATTTTAACTATCATTGCATTTTATTACATTATGCCATGCTCATCTAAAGTTATGTTAATTTTATAATACGGATGAAAAAAAAATATAATCTCATTTTCAGATTTTGAAACTCAAGTTGACGGTTTAGTTGATATAACACTAATCATATAGTTTACAGGTCTATCTCCATACTAAACCTATATATATATAT